TGCACAAGTTTAAACACGGACAGTAGCAAGGGCGTTCACAACCAACTTCTTCGAGCCCATGACGTATGTATAAACTCCTTCATCCGTCTCACTGCGCCACGCGGCGACGGCTGTTATTGTTCAAGTTAGTATTCAACCTATGCAGCAATATTCCCTTATCACCTGCATACGGGGTTTCTATCTCTCAGTTGATACGATACGCAAGAGAATGATCTATGTAACATGAACAATTTCTAAAACGAGGTAAGTTATTGACAAACAAGTTGATGAAACAAGAATATCAATAGTCTCGTTTAAAGTCATCATTTGGTAACATTTATGGTCGATACAATGACCTCGTCAAGAAATACAATCTAACATTAGGTAAAAGGCTGACTGATGTTTATCATACTAATTGTTGGGCCATTATTTACGCATAGAATTGTTGACGGATTTTTCCGTTACTTCCCGATCATGACCAGGAGCACACGGCGGGTGTGACTGGTCGGTTGGGGCTGCTCACTCTTCTATGGCACCTGATCCCACCTCTAATGTTTTAGAGGTCTGTGTTTGCTTCTTTTCTTCCTTCTACACTAAAAATAAGAAATAACCTTTAATAGCAGTGAAGGCAGGTGCATGGTCTCCACGTGTCAGCTATTTATTATTATAAGCTTTTATATCACCTACATTTATATTGTAAAATGCTGCAAGGTTTTTCCACAATAAATGGATTTGAAAGAAATTGTATTAAATCTACTAACGACATTATATTATATTCATTCAGCAGTTTGCAGCACCGTTAATTCTACATAAAGGAGGCGTGGCATAATTTATACAGGAAATGCTTACCGTTACACTATACAATATCAATTCATAATATCATACAATGTAAAAATCTGTATAGCGTATAAAATATTTTCTTCCTGTGCATGTATAATTTTACAATGGATATTTTGTTGTGTGTATAAACCATCTAAAAATAAAGATATTATGTAAGATCTCAAGGAAAACATGTTTACCAAATCTGGAGGACAAGAATTGTGTTAGTGGGGGGATTTATCATAACAAATGCATAAAAATAAAAACAGAAAGTTGTGGAATTTGCGAATCTCAGGGAAAGCGTATAACATTGTCATTACTGTTTAGTCAATCACTTAGGATAAAAATAGAAGAAAACAGATGTTTGGCATGAGTGTAGGATTCTCACTGCTGATAGGAAGCTTGATGGTGTTTTCTATTTGTTTGCAGATTGAGAACTTCTTGATAAGATACTGGTTTGCTCAGGAACGAGGGATTAACAAATCAAAGAAATTGATGCGAGAGACCAGAGGTCATGCATTTGTATAAATTATCTTCACTGAATAAAATGTAAATAAAAATATGCAAAAGGTTCAATGTGAATTTTAAAATGCAATTAAAAATGTAAAGAGTGTTTGAGGACGGAAAAATATAAATAAATAGGGTAAGTACATGTACAAATATGGCTCAGATAGAGACATCCGACCAGTGGTCAGCTGGATTGTGTCTCTTTCTGGTTACATTTATACAGGTAAGTTATATTGATAGCATTGTGCAATTTTTGTCAAATGCGTAAAATTTTCAGATGGCTCAGTTTATTTACAAGTTATTTTATACTGTAATAGTAATGTCAATAATAAAAGCTAAGTTATTTCACTGTAATTTTTGCATCTTTAGAAATTATAATTAATCAGAATGTATTGGTCATTTTTATAAAGAGTAGTCAGCTTGATTGTGTCTCTTTCTGGTTGCCTTAATTATACAGAATGGGTAACAGGATCACTTTCCATAACCTGTGATGCGCAATAACAGGAAAGGTGTTAATCCCTGGAAGAGTAAATTCAAACTGAAGCGTCATTTCGAGAAGTAATGGACTATATAACATAAATAACTTGGGTCAATCTGGTCAAGACCAGGGGATTGTAGAACTGATTCTTCTTGGTCTAAAAACCTCTCACGTGCAAAAACCGTACAACGGGGTTGAAAAGCAAATTATTCTGTTACCTGAAATATTATCTCGGCAAATAAAAACATTTCATAATAAGAGGTGAATCGCACCATATTTTTTATGATATAACCCTTCATATGACCTGCATTTATATTTGTAAAACACTTCAAGAGTTTTCACAGTTTATGGCATTTGAAAGAATTTGTATGAAATCAACTAACGATAGTATATTATATTCATTCAGCAGTTGGCATCACCATTAAGACTACATAAGGAAGGCGTGACCTAATTTATACGGAAAATGCTTACTGTGACATCATGCAAAAATAATAATTTTTCATAATATGTAATTATCTGCCTGTTTGAACTGTATAGGAGTATGAACATACATCAAAACTTACCACCTCATTTTTTTCTGGCTAATTAAATTCAACACAGCAAGATAAAAAACAGGTCACTGATCGCAATGCACTTGTCGACATGACGTCATGCTGGTAATATTATAAGTATAAAGCATTTATTTAGTTCCTTTTCCGTTCGTCTAACATTTATTAAATACCATTATTAAATTTTTATCGACAAACTGTATTGAATTTATTATCCCCTGTTTTGTGTAAAGGAATTGCACGTTGAACATCGAGAAACCCCAATAAATCGCCCTAGTGCAAGTGCATAAACTTAATAGATCTTGACCAATTTTTAAATATAGATAGAAGTGTTCCTTAACCTGAAATCTGCTGCTGCTTGCGTGAAATTGAGATCATTACTTAACGAACATATAAAAATAACTCATGCGTAATAATTTGCATGATTTGTTCAATGATAAATATTATTCAAACTATTTTACGTAAAATAAGATTATATTTAATGCCATAATTACATCTGATAAAATATAATAAAGATTAGAGTGATTAACCAAAGAGTTATAATTTAAGAGAAAAAAGGTCAACTTGATTGCACCGTAGCTCAGTAAGATGCACATTGACCCCCATTTTCTTTGCGATTTTGGGTAATGCTATATGAGTACTTATCTAAAGTATATTTCTAAAAAAATCCTTGATATAACTAATTTCACGAGTGACATACCTTAACTAATAAAATGCAAATTCTAGGTAAAGCAGCAGTATTTTACAGAAAGCACAAGATGTATAGAAACGATTTATGAATTGAAATTTGACTTTGAATGAGGGTATGTCTTTGCGATATTGATATTTATTTATGACCTCCATGCAGTACACATTATGTGCATTTCTCCCGTGACTGTCAAATTAGGTGACCAAGCTAAATTCACTACAGAATGGAGTTTAACTATGTCCTTACAAATAGAATGAAATTTATGTAAAATAACATTAGCTCTGCCAAAAAAAAAATCAGTTTGAAATGTATCTTTTAATGCCCTTCTATATTCCGCTGATTTCTTCAAAGCCTGCTTTAACAATGCTGCGTCATTTTCAAAAATAAGCGAGAGCAACAGTATTTTACTTATTTGAAATGTCCACACTAGGGAAATAACTGTGCCATCTAATAAGTAAAATCTTTCCAAAACGTTCAGTGTTATTATGTGTTCTGAATTACATCTAATGTATTATGAAATATTGTACGTATCATATTAAGGACAGATGATACAAACAAACTTTTATCAAAGATCCTGAAAATAATTACTATAGTCTTATGTTTACATAAGTAAAATGAAAAAGTTTAACCGCATAGATTTTTATATTTCATTCAAAGTTTCACAATATTTGGATTTTAGATGACAAAAAGTTGTTTAGATTAATAAGGATGGTTGGAGAAAGGTGAAATTTTGAACATCATAGAAAGTTAAGAACTTCTTAATATTTTAAACATTAATTATTCTAATCATTTACAACCAAAATAGGTCAAAAAATATGTACCAATCCAGGCATCCATTTTTTATTCGTATCATCTGTCTTTAAAGCAAGCACATTAATTTCTTTCTTACTCAAATTAAAAAAAATTCTTCGTGCATTTATTTAATATCTTTAAAAATACGTATGAATTTTGTGATAATCAAGAACAAAGATAGAGAATATTTTGATTCATTATGTGTGCAATAATTATTATAGAAAAATGATAGAAATATCTGATTTATAGGATACATTAATTTTAGATCGAATATGAACAAACGACACTGGTAAGAAAAATAAGCAAATCCTCAAATACCGTTTAAAATTATAATCATATTTGTCAAATTGTGTTGTTTACTCTATGTGTTCAGTTGAAAAACATAACCTGGCATGCTCATTAAATTCATTGATTTTTCAAGGGTAAGGTAAGAACTTTCAGTTTGAGTTAAAATTTACGTCCTACGAAAAATGTAGCTTTCAATAATTAAATAGAGATTTCAAATTTATTGTCAAAATTATCATTTCATATCCATATTCATTTTACCCCCTCCCCCCATTAAAAAAAACTCTAATCAAGTGATATATTAGAAATAGAACGAGCAAGATATGCATAGGAGGGTCAAGTTAGCAATAGAAACTCACAATACTTGTTGTTATAGATAAAATAGCAGAAATTGCAAACACATGATGTTAATATAGCCTATATGCATTGGTTTCAGTTTCTGATGTTCTCTCTTACTATTTTCCAGAAATAAATTACATATTTTTGTGGGAAGTAAATAATAAGCATGTGGTCGTAAAAATTCCTTTGCTTCTATTATCTACAGAGGACGGCTAAGTGGTTCAATTGCCAGAGTAATTCTGGCTCTGTTACCATTTCGTCAAAAAACAACTTCATGACATAATCAGAAATACTTTTGTGAGATAATTATGTTATCTTTTGTCACAGTGTAAGTGATTTCTGTTATACTTCATCACGTTCTTGTTTTTTCATCCCGCTAATTCTGACAACTCCAGAAACAACTCTTTATACACCGTATGACATCTTCTGATTGGGGAAATCCCCAACCGACTCTATATATACCGTATGAAATCTCTGATTGAGACACAACATTGTTCTGTTCTGGTAAATTCACCTCGAAAATAAAAGAATGATGTTTTCCATTCCTTTAATGCTTTTTATGTCAATGCCACAAGTCAGAACGGGGTCCTTGTTAACCGGTACGTATGATCCGAACTCTACGGCTTTGATCAATGAAAGACGTGACATCAAGGAAATCGACGTTCTTCGGCAGATCATCAACCAGGAAACTCTCATCCGTTTAGCCGTGCTCAAGGATGTAAAGACAGTAGTGGACGACATTAGTTATTTGAGGCGAAGCGTGGCGTCTACAGAAACGATGTCCTCCTCTCTACAGCAGGCCCTAAATACATTGAAAAGGCAGGTTGATTCTCTCAGGCAGGACAAGACCGGAGCGCAGAAAGCAGAAATATTACAAAGACAAGTTGATACTCTTAGAAGAGAGAACAAAGTTTTAGCAGAGAGAATAGAAAATTTGGAAAGACAGATTGAAATAAATAAGAGTAACGCTTTACAGCAAAGTGTAGAAACATTGACAACACAGGTGAATTCTTTAAGTCGGGAACAGAGAAGAGAAAACAAGAACATTGCACTGAATTGCGAGAACAAGATTCAAGAAACTGAGCAGAAGTTTAATAGAAACATCGCCGAGCTGATAAATAACATAACATTGCAAACCGTGAAGAAAGGTATTCCTCTCTCTCTCTCTTTCTCTCTCTCTGTATATGTGTCTGTGTGTATGTATGTATTTATATTATGTGTTATTTTTTTTTAAGGTTCAAAAATAAAGGATTGTAAGGACCATTATCTACATGGACAGACACAGTCTGGTGTTTTTGAAATACATCCCTTTCATAACGAGATCCAGGTCAGCTTGTACTGTGATATGGAAACTGAAGGCGGAGGGTGGACAGTAAGATCTCTCTCTCTCTCTCTCTCTCTCTTTGAATTTACGAGTAAAACAAAAAAAAGATCGTCAGACTTCAAGATATTTATTTTCTGTTGATAACCTGTAGGCAATCCAGAAACGGGTGAGTGGATCCGAGAGTTTTTACAAAACGTGGGAGGAATACAAAAATGGGTTTGGAACCCCTAATGACTCCTACTGGATAGGTAAATGCTTTTTTACTTCTGTTTATATTTCAAAAATATCTACTTATTTGCATCTGTGTTTATTCTAAGGAATGGGATTTTTTGCAAATATACTTTCTGCAATTAATATCTTGTTGATTTTGTATGACTATTTACTTTGTTTACCATGTCACGTATTTAATTTTTTTCAATAACTAATAAACTCTTATATTAACGTATTGAAGGAAATGACGTCATACACCAGCTTACCAAGGGAAGCAACTCATCTCTCTACGTCTCTATTACATTAAGAAATGGTACAACTTTATATGAACTATATCACCAGTTTTCCATTTCTGATGAAACGGACAACTACAAACTTTTTCTTGGAGGACCAGCTACCGGAACCTTAGGTAAATAATAGGAAAAATGTGTGACGATACAAAGAAAGTGAGAGAGATAGAGAGTGAGAAAAGGAGAGACAGAGGGAGAAGGAGAGGGAGAGAATTAGAAAAAAATGAGACGTTTTATGTAAAAAAAAAAAAGGGGGGGCTATGGCAATTTTAATGTAATGTCATGTCTTCCATCAGCAAAATGTAAGTGTCTTCTGTTTCTTTTTCTTGAAAATACCCCCCCCCCTTTATAAGAATGATTCTTTTTTTTAGAAAAGGTCAAAATATTTTCAGACTACGTTATTTATAAAAAATGCTCACACCTTTCCCATTTCCCGTGAAGCTACAATACTAGGTATAAATGGAAATATGGTCTGAGAAAACCATTTATTACTTTGAAAAAAAAAAAACAATAATTTTACATATTTCATGCTACAGATATTGTTTTTGAATAAATAATTACCAGTTGTTTTAAAGATTTTTATCAGCCAATATATTTTGTATGTCTCACATTCTTCACCATAAAAGCATTGCTTTTACATTACTTATTCTCTATTTGCTGTCACTAGTCTCAATAAGCTAATATCAGAGAATGGGTTATGATTATGTGGCTATGTTATAGAAATAAGTAATAGATATAGCAAAAGATAAGCAACAATAGAAAGGATGAAATGTTATTGTGTACGTCATTTTGAAGTATTCCTATTTGTTCGCTATTTGACTTTAAATAGGGGAATATGGTTTTGAGTCGAGTAAAATTCGTTAAATTTTAAGAAATATATTTAACAAAGAATATGAATACACCTCACTGAATAATAACAATCTACACAACATATGATATAATGCTATTACAAAGTTTATGTAACTTGTTAATATCCTGTGTATGATGTGTACAATTCATTTAAATCATTTCAGAGTCCATGTAACTTGTTTGACATCCTTTGTATGATATTATATATCATTTAAATCATTCCAAAGTAACATATTTGAATTCTTGTGTTGGGTATGTGTAATTCATTTTACCTATTTTAAATATTGATAATGAAATGCCTTGAACTGAATTAAGTTTTGAACATAATTTATTTTAATTCTACAGGTGACAGTATGTTAGACACTGGGGATTCTGCCCGTGATTTGTCTGCAATGTCATTCAGTACACCAAACAGAGATAATGACAGGTGGGATGGTGGTAACTGTGCTGCTGTCATTATCATGAGAGCAGCCTGGTGCTATAACGCCTGTCACTACGCCTTCCTTAACGGTCGCTGGAACCCGGCCCACTGGTGGGGACCTTGGTATCCTACAGTAAGGAGGGGGAAAACTGTGAGGGGGACGCTGATGATGATAAAACGTCACTAGGTAAACATCTGTCATTCTTTAAATTTTTAATAATTTTACACTTAATTTGTTTTATAATCTAGAGTCGCAGGTGTTAGGGGTCGAAAATAAAATTTTGTTGTTAATTTTTCTTTTATATTGCTTTTTGTTTTTCTCTTCAGATGCAGATTAATAAACAAAAGAAATGGATCTATAATGCAAATTAGAATACAATTATAAACCCCCACAGACAAAAAATGGCTAATTCAATAGAATTATTATAAGTCACTGATAAGCACTGTTCCTGAAATAGACATTTTCATTTATATTTATGTTTGTGTTCTATGATTTCCAAGTTTTTATAAATGATGCGTGTTGTCTCGATATGAAGATTATCTAATCAAGTAATACATGTTGTATAAATGCAATGGTTTGCACATAGAGTAGGCCTTTCAACTAATTTTTCAAGTTGAACATACGGTAAAAAACATTTGATAGATAGATTTGTAGGTACGTGAAATTAACCAAAAAAGATTATATCCTATACATACCTTTAACTAAATCATAAAACAGTTATTAATAATTGATTTGTTCGATACTGTGTTTCAAAGACAGGTAACTTAAGTGTGAGAAACGACCAAGTAATTTCCGATTTATGAGTTATGAGGAATAACAAATACGCTGCTTCAGTTGGTTTTGTTATGTACACAAAAGGGTCCTTTACATTGTTTTGTACACAAAAGGGTTGACCAAAACAAGGAAAATGTCTTCACTCTACCTGAAATAACGGGAGAAAATGAATTGGGAACTGACTCTATTCAAGATTTTTAACTCCCTCCGACAGTTCTTATGAAGAAGAAAATATGTCACGATTTGTGTGTGTGCATTGTTGTTCTCCTTTTAAAAAGATATATATTTCTACAATTAAATTCAACAATTAATTAACTATTAGACCAGGTATAAAAATTTATACAAGGTATAAATATTTACCTTAAAATTAAGAAAGGGGGGGATTTCACTTTATATTTTAATTCAAAAAATCATTTATATATTATTGCACAGTGTCGGTAACTATTTGATAAACAATTTTAACATTAGTGCTAAATTTTAAAACCATTGAATTCCACTGAAAATGAAGAAACACTTGGAAAATGCTAAAACTCGACCTGCTTAAAAACAATCAGCTACCTCGGACCTGCTGTGAACAAAGTCAGGTAATGAGTTATCGTTCTTTACATCGAACCCTAGCGGCAGTTAAGAGTCCTACATAGAGTCGACAGTTTTACTTATTGCAGCCCGGAGGACCGGGCTGCTCTATACATATAAGTTTAAGTGTTGGTATATGGGGATTGAGGTGGGAGAAGTTATTCAGAATTAAAGGTTTTCTAAACATTAAAAAGATTGTTAATCAGAATGTTCTTTCCCTTTATAAATTACGAGATACACGATATATTTACTTCCATAAAGTGAATCTGTAAAAATATATATGTTTTTCATATTTAATATATAAAGTTGCTTATCATTTACTATCGAAAAACGACAGGTCCCTTTTTTTAGAACATCGAATTTTACTTATCGCATAAAAACGTAAAAACGTACTTTACACAGTTCGTGTTTTATATTCTTAAGGTGAAAGACATTTTTGAAAATAGGTGATGCATGTGTCTGGTTTCAAATTATATTTTATGCAGCCAAGATTTACTTGAGGAATTGATAAAGTTTAAAAGGTATCGTTTTTGTTCAATTTTCATCCGACTATAAGTTTTCAAAATATTCTCGACTATCGTCTCCATCATTTAGACGCATGCCTTTTTCACACATATCGAAGCGGTTTGATGATCAAGACTCATTTCCATTGTTTACTTTATTTATTTCCCGGGCGACAATTGATGGTTACATCAATGTTTTCTTGTTATGTATGATCAAATGCAGATTTTTTTTCCATAAAGGATTTGAATCTGTCCTAAATGATGTGTTGTTTACCAAAAATTTCAGAGCTTGGGTTTAACTTATTAATGTACTTCTTCTTGCTAGATATTTAACGCTTAGGCCACCTTTAAAAAAAATGTGTGGTTGCCCACTCCTGACCGACTGGTTCAAAATAGCACCACTCAAATTTTTTTTAACCTCCAGGAAGTAATTATTTTTTCATGTACCTGGAAAACTGAATTTAAAAAATAGCATTGAAATTGAAATTTTCTGAGAAAAAAAATTCTCTCACCTACCTACCGACCCAATATTTTCAGACCGAGTCGGGAGAGGGCAAACAGACATTATTCTAAAGTCGGCCTTATCATCATTTTTGCATGTATGAACATAATGATATGATCTTAAATATTTGAAAGGTAAAAAAATTAACTTTCACTTTATGAACACTACCATGCTGTGTGTAGAAGATGACAATTCACTCATCGATCCCCGCAGCCACTATTACTAAAATTATTCTAGTATTTAGATATTAGTGTTCAGATCTTTTTTGTTTTGGAATGATCTAACTGGGGAATAATAAGTAAACGTATCCAAAAAAATTTAATCATCATTTTCTTTTTTAAAGGTCATATGAAACGGTTATTTACACTAGGATTTTACTTTTTTTTAAAATGATGACTGGTATTATAGAATGTTTACCCTAACAAAAAAATACTATAGTAAACTATAGTTAACTATAGTAAATCAAAGTTCCAAAGTTTTCACTATAGTAAATCAAAGTTCCAAAGCTTTACTATAGTAAATCAAAGTTCCAAAGTTTTCACTATAGTAAATCAAAGTTCCAAAGCTTTACTATAGTAAATCAAAGTTCCAAAGTTTTTACTATAATAAATCAAAGTTCCAAAGTTTTTACTATAATTAATTAAAGTTTCAATTTTTTCCCTTTACTTAATCAAAGTTTCAAAGTTTGTTCATTAGTTTAACAACTTATGTATTTTTATTTATTAATTTTTTTTTTTATAATTTAGCCGTTTTAAGGGAGGGTGGATATGGGGTTGGTTGGGGCTGGTTTTTGTTGTACATCTTTATTTAAATATACAAAGTACTTAATTCAAATGCAATATTTACATTTATAAATTTAAAAAAACATACATGTTTACTGAAGTTGATGAAGCAGATATTTTGATTCTAAATGACACAATTTTTATTAATAATATATTATTTTTTCTCCATAAATAAGACTTACGTTACATCTGCATAACATCAAAATTAAGTACATTGAAATAAATATTGCTTATCTATCAGCGCAAGCGACAACCTTTACATTAAAATTCATATCTTGTACATTATTCTTTTAGGGGAGGGGTCGGGTTTTTTTTTTAAATTTTCTCTAAAGCTTTTATGAATCTTAAACTTGAAATATCATAAAATGTAAAGAATGGGAATCAAAAACATAATTCCACGGGATTTATCGTACTTAATCAAAGTTCCAAAGTTTTCACTATAGTAAATCAAAGTTCCAAAGTTTTCACTATACAGTGCAGGAAACTAATTTTGTTACTGCATCAATGCTGATTTGAATGCTTCCTTTGCTTGCTGATTTGAATGCTTCCTTTGCTTGCTGATTTAATGCTAGTAATCCTTATCCTGATGCTGTTTTATAATTAGGTCAATGCTACCGGAAGTAGCATCATGCTACCGGAAGTAGATAATGAATTTCAGCATTGCCGTTTAAAGCAATAAAAGTGCCTTTTACAATTATTTGATCATAATATCTCACTATGTATCAATAATGTGAATACTTTAACCAATATTCTTTCTTTCTTTTTTTAATTTTTTACTGAATTAAAACTCATTGATTTTCTGATGCTAGTAGGATAATGCTGATTTTATGTAGGTCAATGCTGGTTTTATCCTTTGTTTGCTGATGCTGATCCTGGTAATGCTGTTTTTTAAATGCTGATGCTAGCTCGATCCTGATGCTACTAATGCTGATGCTGGTTTATGTAACAAAATTAGTTCCCTGCACTGTAGTAAATCACAGTTCCAAAGTTTTCACGATAGTAAATCAAAGTTCCAAAGTTTTCACTTTGGTACTATAGTTAACTATAGTAAACTATAGTGAACTATAGTATTTTTTTGTTAGGGTAATTACGTTTATTGAAAAAAAAAAAGATAAGTATATGATACATGATAGGTTATTTTTCATTCCCTGTGAAATTGTTTAATTAACCAAAAAAAAAAAAAAACAACGTAATTAATTATTATTGATCTGAACCTTCTTACAATAAAAAAAATTAATGGGCATGTAAAATCTGTAAAATAAAGTTGTGTCATATATTAACAGGGAAAATATCCAGCTCAAGAATACCCCCCTTTTTCCAAAATAAACACGGGGATATTGAAGTTCATGATAAACGTGGATCAATGAAAAGTCGGCGTATTGGAATGCACGCTTTCTGCAATCTGAAACACGAGGACTTGTGTAAAAACGATATTGAAATAGAGGTTTATGACGACACCATTGTAATTTTGCTGTCACAAGAAACATGATTTTAAAAATTGCCTCAAAACTTACCGGTTTTACGATTACGTACATGTATATACATGCACTATAATGTTACCGTGCTGAAACTTCTAACAGTTTGGCTGAGCAATTACAGTTTGAAATCGTGTATGAATTGATCAGTCTTAACCTGAACAATTTTTAAATTAATATTTTTACAGTTAAATATTGTTTTTTAAAAAAAAAATCAGACAATATAATTTATACTGAAATAGACTAGTTCAATTCAGTTAATGACTATATAGACGCAGAAAAGTAGGATTAAATAGATAAAACTGCATTTTATGTCTGACTTTGTAAAATTATTACGATAAAATAGTAACAGTTTATATGTATATATATATATATGTACCGACCTTTGGTAAGAACAAAATCGGAGAGAGTTATCGAGACAGAGACAGCCAAAGACAGAAAAGAGAAAGCGATTGAAAGAAGGGGAAAGCGGGAAAACGATAGAATCATTTCATTTCCTATAAATAAATGAAATCATTTAATAGTCAGGTTTAGTTTCTTTCATACACAGCGGTATAAATGCGTGTGCTAACGATTTCATAGATATCATCTGATCGTTGCTTGAAAAATTTCATTAGAAAACAAATCATCAATATTCTTGTGTTAGAAATTTATTCAATTGTAAATTATTTGACAGCGTCTATATTCACTTACTCGAGTACAGACCCCTCTCTTTGTCTTTTTTTTCTCTCTCTAAGGATCGATCTGTCTCGAAATGAAGTGCCGAGGGACGACAATAAATTACAGTAACACAGATAGAACACGCTAAAATCTTGCAAATATGCAAAAGTATGTTAAAAGACAAATACATTCTTGTTTGAACTTCGAATATTTATGCGATGTTTTAGCCAAAATAACGATATATATAGTAATATTGATCGACTCTATTGTCGCTAATTTGCATAAAAAATCCAAAATGTAAACTCAGGCTTACTAAAGTAGCTCAGATGAACTCATTTCCCCATACAACCCAAAATGCTCAACACAATGTTTCATATGACCTTTAAATTCAAAGTATATAGATGCCCTTGAAATAGCCATTTCGCAACGATATATCAAATCAATGGGACCATTCATACCAACAAAATGTTTATTGGTCATACAAGTCGCTAAAAGAGATAACAAAATGCTTTACAGTAAAATCTAAACCCTTGCATAGAGGTGGATCTGTGGCTTCGCGACAGCTAATTCGTCTTTTTACCGTTGTTAAGCTGTGATATCCCCTTCTGATGTTTGCTATAGCTTTATATGATATCTCTTGAATTTCGATAAAAAAGGTTCCAACTTCTTTTGAATTTCTATGAAAAAGGTTACAATTCTCTTGGATTTCGATAAAAAAAGGTTCCAACTTCTTTTGAATTTCGATGAAAAAAAGGTTCCAACTTCTGTCGAATTTCGATAAAAAAGGTTCCAACTTCTTTTGAATTTCTATGAAAAAGGTTCCAACTTCTCTTGGATTAAGATAAAAAAGGTTCCAACTTCTTTTGAATTTCGATGAAAAAAAAGTTTTAACTTCTTTTGAATTTCGATGAAGGTTCCAACTTGAATTTCAACTTCTTTTGAATTTCGATAAAAAAGGTTCCAACTTCTTTTCAATTTCGATAAAAAAAAAAAGGTTCCGACTTCTTTTGAATTTCGATGAAAAAGGTTCCAACTTCTTTTAGAACTTTTTTCATACATTACCACACTGCCTTGATTTGACTATACTGCAAAAAGTGTGGTGTTGGATGGGGTTGGGGGGACCGGCCTTTCAATGAACATGTTCAAAAGTAGAAATTAATGTTTAAAATGTACAAAATGAAGAAAACAGTGATCGATCTCACAAAATATATAAACAAGAAGTCTGTGAGCCAAAATTTGTTATGTATGGTACGGACAGACGCACGGATAAACAGGAAGTTGACATCGGATTCGTACAAAAATGAATCCCACCACATGGCATGCCTAAACAAAGAGTGTGTTAAAATTTCAAGCACCTGTGATGAGTAGTTGCTGAGAAAACTGTGACCAAAGTTTGTTATGTGTGGTACGGACAGACGCACGGATAAACAGGAAGTTGACATCGGATTAGTACAAAAATAAATCCCACCATATGGCATGCCTAAACAAAGAGTGTGTTAAAATTTCAAGCACCTGTGATGAGTAGTTGCTGAGAAAACTGCGACCAAAGTTTGTTATGTGTGATACGGACAGACGCACGGATAAACAGGAAGTTGACATCGGATTCGTACAAAAATGAATCCCACCATATGGCATGCCTAAACAAAGACTGTGCTAAAATTTCAAGCATCTGCGATGAGTAGTGGCTGAGAAAACTACGACCAAAATTTTTTATGTATGGTACGGACAAACGCACGGATAAACAGGAAGTTGACATCGAATTCGTACAAAAATGAATCCCACCATATGGCATGCCTAAACAAAGAGTGTGTTAAAATTTCAAGCACCTCTGATGAGTAGTTGCTGAGAAAACTGCGACCAAAGTTTGTTACGGACAGACAGACAGACGGACAGACAGACAGACGGACAGACACACAAGGGTAAAACAGTATACCCCCCTCTCCTTCGGAGCGGGGGTATAATAATACAAATACCCGGTATGTTAAAGCTGAATACGACTCGTAAATAGGCATACGCCATTTTCGATACTATTAGCTACGATATCAGCACCGGGATATACCCTTCGGATTCGTTACACTTGACTGTGGAGTGGCGACACTTGTTGTGCTGGTTATCTTGCTTTACATTTGCTTTCATTTTATTGCACTTACGTGTATTTGTGATTGTTTGTATACTGCACTGACCTGTGCAACTGTTGTAAGTTTCTCGGGTATCTTACTTTCCTGCATTAGAAGAAGTACACAGTTATATTTTGTCGCTACCGAGTGCTGTATAGCATACGTCCGTCTTCACCGGTGTCGATTGAATACACTGAACAGTGATCAAGTCAGCGGCTTTATATAAGAACTCAGATATAGCAAGAAACCAATCGAATATGGCGGACACATTCCTTTTATGAATCGTGTTCAGCTTTAAGAAGGAATAAAACACGAACCTTCGGAAATCAGTGTCAAGGAGGAGTAAGCATCCCCTTTTAACCGGTCACACCCGCCGTTAGCCCTATGTATTGATCACGTAGACAGAACATTTCGTAGTCAAATTGACAGGTGAGCGTGTTCTAGTGTGCCCAAGCTGCACTGAGCAATGCAGACATACCCAAGAAAAGGCTTGAGGGATTCATTTTAAAAACTTAGGACTTTATCGATTAATGAATTTCATGGAAGTGAGTTTTCACATTTTTCTTGTTAATGTTTAAATATACATATGAATGTATGTGTTTATTTACGGATACTTTTTACAACAAACGGAAAATAATTTTAAATTTGTTAATAAGAGGTCATAAGTAATATTTTATCACTTTCTCACATGACTGTAGTATCTCAATTGAAGAAATTTGTGAATATTTTTCAGACAATATAAAAATTAACATACTGAACTGAAAGTGCACAAGACAGGGGGACATTTTACTACCGCAATTTACTTAATGCAAGAGACGTGAAAGGGAAAGTAAAGAATACATTTCGTCCACACAAGATCTTGTACTACACCACTCTGGATGCAATTTGTCTTCTTATGTTTCTTCAAGATTTGGATGTTGATTTGGATTCAGAAATACCCTTGCCAAGCCACTTCAACAACTTGACAAATGATGAAAAAAATACAGTGGTTGAATGAAATATGCGGTAAAATACTAGGAAAAAATATTTCTTTGATGGATCATCTGATGTGTGTGAACAATTACGTGAAATTACAGGGAATCCACATCATCATACCTATTGGGTACATACTTTAGAAGATGGTCGAATTCGATGTCTCTTTTGTCCTAAAACATATGCTTATGTAGGCTCGTTAAAAGCTCACGAGAGCAAAATGCATAACATCACCATAGCAAAACAGTCCAAAGTGTCTAAAAAGAAAGATCCTAACGCAGATCAACTTCAGGACTACATTTTAATGCTCATCACAGTTGTGATGCTACATAAGAATCTCGACAGTGCTCTGGACATGGGAGATGGGGAACGATCTGTAAGATCAACAAAGTATTAACTGCCAATATACAACAAACCCAACAAGCAAATTCAAAGAATTGTGGTCCCCCGGTGTCTTAGTGGACGGGATGACATTATTTACGACATATTGTAACTGTCTTGATTGTGTGTCCCGTCTTGTCTGTGCATTATACAAAAAAGATATTAATTACTGAATCAATAACAGTTATGACAAAGAATAAAGCTTCTCAAAACTACATCAAACTTCAAGATCAAGGTCATGAGGTCAAATATCATAATAAAATCCGAAAGGTCTTGTCACAAGTAATGCACATGTGAGAAAAATATCAAAAGCCAGACTATACAATCGAAAATTCTTGAAACTTGTAATGCACATGTCATTTGTAAATGCCATATCTTCTCTCAATCAAAAGTTGTTAGCAATGTTAAAATATTTGAAAAGTAGGTCAAACTTCAAGGCCATGGGATTATAAATGAAAGTACATTTGGGAATGCTTGTCACAGGTAATGCACGTGTGAAATAGGATTGCCCTATCTTTGCTCCTTCAAAAGTTAGCAACACTGATGCAATGTTTGAAAAATAGGTCAAACGTGAAGGTCAAGGTCACGGGGTCAGATATCATAGCATATTCAAAAACATTTTGACACAGCAAATGCACTTGACAAATATAAAAGCCCTATCATATGTAATTCAAAAGTAATCACCAAAGTTAAAATTTTTGCAAATGAGGTCAAACATGAAGGTCAAGGGGTAAAAAATCATGGCATGCTCAGAAACACGTTCTCACTTGTAATGCACATGTCAAACATGAAAGCCCTATCTATTCTCAATCAAGTTTTCAGCAAAGATAAAAATTTTGAAAAGTAGGTCAAACTTCAAAGTCATGGGTCAAGGGGGTCTAAAACCATAGTTCGTTTGGAAAAGTCCTGTCATAGGTAATACACATGTCAAATATGAAATTAAGCCATATCTCTTCTCAATCCAAAGTTATAAGTAAAAATAAAATTTTTGGAAAGTAGATCAAACTTCAAGTTCAAGGGGTTAGAAACATAGTATATTTGGAAAGGTCTTATCACAGGTAAAATACATATGTAATATGAAAGCCCTATCTTTTCTCATTCAAAAGTTATTACCAATTAAAAGTAATGTTAAAATGTTTGAAAAGTAGGTCAAACTTCAAGGTAAAAGGGTCAAAAATCATAGTATATTTGGAAAGCTCTTGTCACAGGTAATGTACATGTAAAATATGAAAGCCCTATCTCTTCTCATTCAAAAGTTATGACCAAGGTTAAAGCTTTTGTGATAGACAGACGAATGAGATTTAATATCCCCTCGCTTTCGCGAAAGCGGGGGACAATAAGACAAAATGCAGCATCGGATCAATTCATCCTACAGCTTTGACATCCGGCTTGCTTCCTGCCAGTCAAGAGGAGAAATAACAAGAGGCCCATGGGCCTTGAATCGCTCTTCTGATAAACTGTACAACCTATCACTTCTATTTGAAGCCTCAAAGTATCCTGTATATTTACATAAACCCTTGAAATTCCAATTCACACTCTGAGAACCCAAGATGATTCTAAGCCAATTAGTACCTGAGAGTTGGTCATGGTGACCTACTTATCACTTGTCATTCTCTGAGGACCCATCAACTAAGATTGATGATTCTAAGCCAATTAATACCTAAAATATTTTTTAAAATTATAATCATAAAATTTTATAAGTAGGTCAAAGTGACCTACTTTTCAATTGTTTTACTCCAAGGACCCAAGATGCATCAACTGACAAAGTTTGATGATTCTAAGCCAATTAGTACCTGTAATATTTAATTAAAGCCATAAATTTTCAAAAGTAGGTCACTGTGACCTACTTTTCAGTTGCTGTACTCCGAGGACCAAAGATACATCGACTGACAAAGTTTGATGATTCTAGCCAATAAGTACCCAAAATATTTAATTACAGCCATAAATTTTCAAAAGTAGGTCACAGTGACCTACTTTTCAGTCAACCTACTCCGAGGACCAAAGATGCATCAACTGACAAATTTTGACGATTCTAAGCCAAATAATTCCTGAAAATATTAAATACAGCCATAAAATTTCAAAAGTAGGTCACCGTGACCTACTTTTCAGTTGTTGTACTCCGAGGACCCATGACGCATCAACTGACAAAGTTTGATGATTCTAAGCCAATTAGTACCCGAAATATTTAATTAAAGCCATAAATTTTCAAAAGTAGGTCACGGTGACCTACTTTTTAGTCAATCTACTCTGAAGACCCAAGATGCATCAACTGACAAAGTTTGATGATTCTAAGCCAATTAGTACCCGAAATATTTAATTATCGCCATAAATTTTCAAAAGTAGGTCACTGTGACCTACTTTTTAGTCGACCTACTCCGAAGACCCAAGATGCATCAACTGACAAAGTTTGATGATTCTAAGCCAATTAGTACCCGAAATATTTAATTAACGCCATAAATTTTCAAAAGTAGGTCACTGTGACCTACTTTTTAGTCGACCTACTCCGAAGACCCAAGATGCATCAACTGACAAAGTTTGATGATTCTAAGCCAATTAGTACCTGAAATATTTAATTATAGTCATATAAATTGAAAAGTAGGTCACAGTGACCTACTTTTCAGTTGACCTTTTTTGAGGACCCAAGATGCATCAACTTACAAAGTTTTATGATCATAGGACTTAAAATGTCCAAATTATGCCTCTAAAACGCTTTGAAATCGAATGCCTGCAAAGTTCAAAAAGTAGGTCACTGTGACCTACTTTTTAAAAAATGTTTTATGGCCCCAAGATGCATCATCTTACAAGATTTAATGATTCAAAGCCTCCCAGTATTCGAATTAATGACCTTAATTGTTTTAAAAAAAGATTAGCCATAAAATTCAAAAAGTAGGTCAAGGTGACCTACTTTTTAGTTGACGTACTTTGAAGACCCAAGATGCATCAACTGACAAAGTTTGATGATCATAGGCCTAAAATTGTTCAAAATATGCCTCTAAATCATTTTGAAAAAGAATGGCCGCAAAATTTAAAAAGTAGGTCACCGTGACCTACTTTTGAGTCAACATGATATGAGGTCCTTAGATGCACCAACTGACAAGATTTGATGATCCTAGTCCTGATAGTAAGCAAAATATCAACATTTTAATAAAATGTAATTTTTGGTCAACTTTGAAGTGACCTTGAGACCACGCCCTTTGCCCCAGGGTAAATCCCCGTGCAAATTTTAATCTACAACATATCCTCATCCTTTTGTGTAAGTTTGGTGATAATCTGCCCAGTGGTTCTTGAGAAGAAGATTTTTTAGCAACCAGTACTTTTGTTTCTATTTTCCTAATTATCTCCCCTTGTTAAAGGGTCACAACCCCAGTTTTAGTATAAAAGGGAGCCCTTGGGCCAAGGATACCCTGTGACAAATTTGACAATAATTGGCCAAGGGGTTCTTGAGTTATGGCCCATATTCTAAAAAGTTTACGCACACCGCACACCGCACAAATGGCCATAGCATTAGCTCTTTGAGCCTTTGGCTCAGAAGAGCTAAAAAGCAAACAGATTCATCAATCTACAAGGTGGTCACAACAACAACATTGCTGTGGATGAAATTGTAGAAATGCTAAATAGAGACAGCAAAGTTGTTTGCTCTGGGCACCAAACAGGAGACAGTATTGTCCAGCATTCCAGAGAGTATCCACTCTTTATTAACATTGCAAAACATTATGATATTATAAGTAGCACTAAGGGATTCCATCACAAACAGGATGTCAGAAATATTCTTCAGGATCTCCAGGAGCTAAGCATTTTAGAACATACCCCTAAGCACATCTTGAAGTGTAAAAGCCTGACCCCAGAGAGGAATCCATTCAACAATGCTTACCAAGGGTTATCCACCATGATACATCGACATCGACCGTCATTTCTCTATCGTCGTCTGCGCAATCCTCGTATTTAAACTTATTTAACATATGTTCCAAATTCACATGAAGGCATGGATTTCCATGAATGAAACAATTTGCAAATAGTATTTTACCAAGTGAGAATCAAATATCCTGTGTAATATGTGTTAAATATAGGAGGGTGCACATTATTACTTATAATTCCAATTTTCTTGATTTTTTTACACTATGTAGTGTTCTGCTCTTTCATGTCAGAGAGAAACCTTTACTTTAAATTACTGTATTGGACATAATTTAACATGACACTAAACAAATATACAGTAATTTTTATTTGTATCTATTTTGCCCATTCAATTTGCTACACTGATATCTGTTCATGTTGAAAATTCACAAGGTAAAATATTTGTTTTAAAGCCCCTCAAAATTTTTGATATTCTCTCAAAACCCACGCAGCTCTGTTAAGGCTGCATAAAGGGGGCGGGGCATAATTTATACGGAAAAAGTTAACTGTGACATCACACAAATATAGCAATTCCTCAAAATAACAGAAAATGAAATAATCTGCGAATCTAAACTGCATAAGAGTAATGATCTACATCAAACATACCACTGCTTTCATTTTTGTCGCTAGTTAAATCCCACACATCAAGATATAAACAAGTCACTGATCGCAATGCACTTGTCGTCATGACGTCATCATGGTAAGGTTTGACGCATTTTTTGTGCAGTGAGAGGCAGATCATTTAATTTTTTCACAGTAAAAAAAAGCATTTTATTATTAAACAGAATATTATTTGCAAATCTTAGGTAGACCATTAATACAAATTTGTTTAGTGTCATTATCTAAAAAAATATCGAGAGAATGTTTTGAACTAATTCTACCGTGTTTTTGTCTGCAGAGTGTGCATGTTTCACACAGAGGTGCCTCATTAAATCGCCTTTTCGCAAGGGCATACACTTAATAGATCTTGACCATTTTTTGAATACACATAACGGACATATTTCTTAACTTGAAAGTGCTGCTGCTTTGAAGAAATCGATAGCATAACTTAATAAATACATAAAATAGTTGGTAAAGGTCACACATATTTCGACATTAGCCAGATAACTTGAAATTAAAACTAATAAAATGCGAATTCTATTTAAAACAGCAGCACTTTCCATAAACTACGAGTTATTTAGAAGCAGTCTATTACTTTAATTTTTAATTTTCACTAGGGTATGCCCTTGCGTTATTGAAATTTATTTGTGACCTACATGCAGTACACATTACACGCATTTATCACGTGACTATCAAATA